AAAAGCAAGCCAAATAAACTGCATCTCTACCCTTAAAATGCCCCATGTTGTGGCGTTGTGAGTGTGGGTTATTTTGTACAGTTGGTGTGAAAATTGCTACATTCAAAGATGCATGGAACAAGAAGACTGCTTTTGCAGTATACCTTTATCAATTTTTGAGGAGTTGAAGACTGCTTACACAGAAGTCGATAAAGAGTTGTTAACATTTTCTGTATTTACCTGAAAACGATGTTGCTATAGACATACAATGAACTTGGAATAAAAGAAACTGTTCAATCCAAAAGACCTGCATCTTTTAAAAGTCTTATTTATCACCCTTTTTGTTTCTAAGCAAAAAAAACGTTGAGGCCAAAAGCATGGATTTTTTTGCCCAAACTGCTATGAATTTTTGGGGTCGGGTGAGGAACTGCATTAAAAAAATAAAAAGGATATAAACATAGTTATGATAAACAAACCTTCAATTTTTATATTCATTAAATTGATTCAAATTGGTGTGATTTATTAAAATGAATCCCATTTTAATTGACTAATTTAAATTCAGAGTTAAATTCAACAGTTTCTTTCATGGAATTGGGTTTGGAAATAATCTTTTTATTTCAGTTAACATAATAATTCTACCATGACATTGGCATTGGATTCTGAATGCATAATGGCAATGAGGAACCATGCTTGAAGTAAATATCTAATAAAATACACATTCAATCATTTTGATTTGTTACTGTCATGTGGCTGATGCTTTTGATTAAATTGTTGAAATTATATTGACTGTGTATTATTTTAATCGTTTTTAATATTTTTTAATATGCATAAGTGCATTTCATATATCAGTATTAAATTCTTAGGTATAAATATCTTTACCCTATTTAAATAATATAAATTCACTCAAAGTGAATTTCTTGTTATTGCTGTTGTGTAAAATAATTGCAAAGCACAGGTAGATGTGTTAAAATATTCATGTTTATAATAAATGGGTCATAAATATGTTTTAATAATTTTTGCAATATAATTAAATTCTCAACTGTAGTAGATTCTTATTTTTATCCACCATATAAATGTAACTGTCACTGGCAGGACTTGGCACAAAAGCAGCGTGTTCTATCCACCTTCACTTAAATCAAGAGCTACGAGAGCTGTTAGCACTCTGTGTCTGACCAGTTGCAAGAGTTTATATCCACATCTACCTTAATGACTGTTACAAGGTTCAAGAGAGGTTTTTCTGAAAGTTAACACCTGCAGTTAAAATTTTTAATTATTAACTTAGCTCTGACCCTAAAGTGAACCTGTCAGGCCAATTTTATTGTTTCATATGATAATTCATTATTTTATAGATTTGTCTGAAACTACCATGGCTGGTAAAAATGTTTAGTATTGATGTGGGTCTCATGTGACATACACTACGCTTGTAAAATACATTGTTTACATAGCTTGTGATTTGTATTGACTATCAAACTTTCTTTGCTGAGATACAATAAGCATTTTTGCCAAGTTGTCACTGCTTTGTGATTTATGTCTTTGCAATTTCACTTTGTATGATTTGTGTTAGGTACATCTCAATTTTATTGGCGGTTGAGGGGACTGGGTTCGTTGAGCAGGAAGTAATGAACACTGTCCAGAGGTGCAGTGGTAAAAGAGAAAACTCTGACAGGTTTTTCTTCTAAAGTTACTTCAACACTTTAAGGTCAACAAGCTCAGCAGTGCTCCTTGTCTCCCAAATTTTCAAATAATTAAAGATTACTATTGTGTTATTCCCAGTTATGGTATCCATTGTTGAGATTTCGAGAAGAAGGTATGGAAACGATAACGATTGGACCTGAAAAAGACAAAATATACAAATCTAAGAATGGTTATCCATGTAAAGCAGATGTGGATATAGAGACAGTGTCTCCAGCTGTAAGTGTCTACCTTGTATTATGATGTTACAGTAGTTAGTTGTCAGAATTTATCAACAATGTGATTAAATTAAAACATGCATATATTTCATCATTTAGGGATGAATGGATTGAAGGCCATTTTAGTTACTTGCGCACTTGTTTATTTGATGCAGTAATTAACACAAATGAGTACGTCTTCCAAGGTGTTATTGAATTGCGGCAAATAATTGGCAAAAAGACACGATAACAGTTCATGAACGGAATGTATTTCAACATGTGTGATTTGACACTATAGACACAGCCCTTAATTTTATCTGATTACGATAGTAGAAATTGAGTTGTCACTTGTTTTTCACTTTTGAAAACTTTCATTTACGGGAAGAATCCATGCTCAAAAGATTTAGTACGTTGCCGTGCATGCGTATAACCTTTTCACCACCAGACTTTCTCACCCAAATTTATCTGCACTATTTCTGGAAATGAACCCTCATTTTGGAGCCAACTGACAAATTTTAAGTCAATTTTTGGTTTTTACCCCCAAAATTTGGCTATTTTGTTCCAATCTTATGAAAACAAATGCAGACTACATGTATAAACGGAACTATTTTGTGGATTTGTGATGAAAAGAGGGAAATGGTGGTGAAAAGGATAATAGGCTCTCAGAATGATGTATGTACATTGTACATGTATTAACTTGTAAATTTAACTAGCTTTACCAAAAACATACTTTGTCTGAAACCAATTATGTATTTGGAAATAAATATATTACCTGGTTAAGCTAATACTATGCACCTTCATTAGCATAATGTCTATTCATGATCAACAAATTGATTATTTGTGAAAATCAAAATTCTTTGTTTTTTTGGCCTGAAGTATATTGATTGTTTTTTGTATGCAGGATTTGGATGCATTAATCATTCCAGGAGGCTGGGCGCCGGATTATTGGAGAAGAGATAAACGATTTGTCGATTTGGTCAGGTGTATGTTTGAAGCAGGTAAATATTTTTAGAAACTTTTATCCCCTTTCACAAAACCCTATCTCCCCCACTTGGTGGCGCCGCTGAATTGCAGTGCTCCCTCTCGCAGTTTTTTTCTAGAAAACCCCCTGCTCACTATCAAATAAAGTGACTGTGGGTTAAAAAATGTCACACCACCTAGACTGCCTGTTCTTATCTAGGCTGCCACATTCCAAAAAAATGTACATGTTCTACGTTCCCTTTATTCCACCAGACACTTTCAACGTCCTTTTCAGGGTCACAGCATATTTCAGAATAAGAACTACAGTTTCTGCTTTAATGTACATATTTGTAGACTTGCTGACTGATCAGATAAAAAATCTTGAAAAATAATTGTAAATTATGTAAACAGCAATGAACGCGTGGCCCTGAATGCAGAACGTGAAATTACCTATTTTGTTGCCACAGCTATTTTGCATTCCCCCTTTGTTTTACACAATTGAAAATTTTTTTTCAAGAATTTTTATCAGAATCACAACAGACTTCAAGGAAGTCATCTGTTAATACAACGAACAAAAAATAGTTTTTAGTCCCCGTTCAGGCAGTCAATTAATTTTTTTTTTTCAGATTGGATTCAAAATGGCTGACTGGCAGCCATTTGTTTTAATGATTGGGCTTCGAGAGCCAAATCTCTTAAATGCTTTGACTGATTATATTCAAATTTTTGTATATTCATCATACATCATGTTATATATATACATGTATTCAAAATGGCTGATTTTGAATGCTGTTCCAGAGCAATATCTCTCAATATGGACAAGTACTTGTTTGACGATCAGATACAAATGTGATTCATTTTAATGTTAAAAAATCATATTCCTGACATGGTTATATTCCAGCTATATTACTATAAACAAAACTATATATCTTAAATTTAATAACTAACGGGGACTGTGCCATGCATGGCTTGTTTTTATTACAAGTGTAGAAAAAGACCCCCTGGGCATATTGCCCGGATATGACCTCAATTTCTCTATTGTATCAAAATTGGGGGATGGGCGTTTGCCCTGACATGGGCTCTTACCCGGATAAATACAGTATACGTCAGCACTCACAATTGCAATTTTCACATTACCAAAAAAATGTCAGGAGCGACAACAATGACATTAATTGTCTGGAACTGTCGTCTGGCGCAAACATGTTTATAAAAAAAACTCTTATCATCCTAGTCTCATTTTCAGCTAGCTTTATATACTGTAAAGAGGTTAATTATTCACTGGATATTAATTTTGCTTATTTCGCTGACTGGAAAAAACATTAATTTTAAAACCTACTGAATATGCGTAAAAATGGAAAATCAGCGAAATTTAAACCCAGTGAAAATTTAAGTCATTTTACAGTATACTAGTAATAGGAAATGTTTGTGAATCTGATTTTTTTTTTAAATTGATGAAACGTGAACATGATTAGTTTGGGTAATTTGAATATCATGAATATGAATTATCTTTTAGGATAATGATTCCAAATCAGTGAACCATATCAGAATATTGTGTTAATTATAACAGTGTAATGACTAGAGTGAGTGTGTAATTGATTATAATAATGTACATATGAGATTGATACTCCTAAAGGTGTGTTGTCATCTACATATTATTGGAACCTTTGACATATGAAGTGTTATTTTACATGTGACAATGACATGATAGAATACATCTATCTGTAATGAATATTTGAATGCTTTCTTATTACCAGTGAAATTAGAATGCTGCAAAGAAGAAAAAATATTGTAATTTTCTTCATTTTTACATGTTTGATATTTCATGCCATGAGGATAAAGAAGATGGAATAATAATATGGGGTCATCATACTTGGATCAGAGAAAATTAATGTACAAAATGGAGTGAAAATAGCATGTTTCTTGGCTGTTTTAGGGTATTTTACCATTATTTACCATGGAACAGATATATCTCTATCTCAAAATTTTGCCCAGTGACATATGGTAAACAGAAGATATGTAGTGTCTTACAAGGTACTTTTTGATGTGCAGAAGTATTAAAAAAAATATAATATAATTTTAGCAGGTTTTATCGAGGAAGTGGAAATGAATTTTATGCATATTATTTTAAAGTTTTTCTCAAAAAAACAGATTGACAGTGTACCAAAAATTTTACCTTTAGAAATTTTAGAGGGTATGTCTCTGTAAAACATCTTGCATGGACATACAAATAATATTTGTCATATCAAGACATATGGTGACAGTTTATTAACCAATTAGAGCTACCAGTATTTTGACAATTTTTAACATTGCCAGGGTTTTATCTATACAGTATGTGATATTTATAAATTGACTGTCTGTCTGCTGTTGTCCATGTGTTATTCATGGGTTATCACCATTGCGGTGTTTGAACGACTTGTGCCTTATTCAACCTCATGTAAGCGTCCTTTTGGAGGGGGACGCAAAGCTGTTCATTCCGTGTACTACATATGTTCTTATGTTTGATGCAAGATGTGCACAATGAAATGGCCGACAGCAAAATGTAGTTCTCCATAGGTTCGTCTGACTGCGCACTCACTCCAAGCAGTGTACTAAACACCATTGCATCATGGGATTTTTAGTCTCAAGACTTAAAATGACTTAGGCTCTGAGCATCATTTTTCGCAAGAAAGAAAACTTGATTCCTTGCGAACGCCATGCTTGTTTTAATTGGTTGATGTAGCAAATTAACACATTTTCAAAGGCTTTCAATTTATAATAAGAGAAAATATAACTTTAAAGATCCAGTTGTTCTTGTCCCAATGAGTGGAGTTTCCGTGGGACAACTGACTTATTCATCTCAACACATGTGAATACTTGTGTTGTGCTGTCTCTAATTTCAGAGTCTGTAAATCAGCTCCAAGCTGACAGAAAATGATACTATGAGTGGGTATCTGCAATCAGATGAATAAATATCACTGACTATTCAAGTTTGGTTTAAATAACAATATTCAATACTTCTCGTTCTTCAGAAAAGCCTGTGGCAGCTATGTGTCATGGACCATGGTTACTGATATCAGCTAATGTATTACGTGGTCGCCAGGCAACATGTTGGCATTCCATAAAAGATGATGTAACAAATGCTGGGTAAGTTGTTGGTGTTTACCAGTATTGGTAATGAATAGGGAAAAAATAGCATCATCAGCACATGGTGTGTTAAACATTAATTTAGCAGCTTTTATTTGAAAAATCAGCTGACGTGTGAAGAGCAGAAAGCTGTACCTTAGTTTTATAAACATATTTGTAAATACAAATCATCAATCTTCATTTAAATTCAACTATTTAATGATTGGCTGTATGCCCCTAATGTGTATACAAGCCTTCATGTGACGTAGCAACAGTGACCATCCTCTTATTCAATATGATTGCTGATTGAATTGTGTTAATTAATTTTAATAAGAACTTTTGATATTGCAATATCATTTCTAGATTGGTGTTTTTGATATATAAAAATTTATTTTCCCCGGCTTATTGATTTTCACTGTAATAGATGCCCATCTATCTAATTGGGAAAAACTCGTTGATGGAATTGTGTTTTTATTTCAGAGCTGAATATCAAGATGCTGCGGTCGTAGTGGACGGTAACTTGGTAAGTGTACATTGTTGTTTATCACCATTCAAGGTGATCCTACCATTGTATTATGTGAAACCATTGTCTGTGATGTTCTCACCATAAGTAACTCTTATGGTTTGATAATTTTGTGAGAGCACCTCATTTTGTGAAATTTTGCGATTTTTCAAGCCAAATTTTCATAAAATTAAATCTGTTTATGATGAGAAGTATATGAGAAGTTTCTGGTTTATAATCGCTGACGATTTCAAAGCCAGAATTTTTTTGAAGGATGTGGTTCTCTATATAAAACATTATTTTAATGTATTTTTTTTTTTGTACGGTTTTCGAAAAGATTTGTTCACTATTACAAACATTGTCAAATCAGAACAGTAACAAGCAAGTAACAGCGGTAAGAAATAGGTTTATGTCTAATTATTTTGTTGTGGTTGTGGTCTAAGAGCCCCTCTGTTTCCTTATTTTCACAGATCACCTCAAGAGGGCCAAACGATCTACCAGACTTCTGTAAAGCCTTGCTTACACAACTTCTGTTCTCATAGCATTCAATTCATGTTATTTTTATTTAAATTTTTGCTTTTTCTGTAGTGTAAATATACATGTATGCTTTCTTTGTTATATCTGTTTGTGAATGTATTTACCCGAAGTGTCAAGCTAAGGAGGCTATATAGTAGTAATTATTACAACCAATCATATTCTAGTAATTTTGTCATGTGACCATGTCAGATCCAAAATGGCCGATAGTGTTGGTCATCCTATATTTGTATCATATGTCAACACGTGTTGATATTTGTAGTTTTAGTACATGTTTAAACCAGTGATAGCCATTAGAATAAAAAAATCTGAAACCAATGACTGAAAAATATATTTGGAAAAAACAAAACATTCATTCTTCACATATATATCGTCAATAATTTTACCCAATTAACAATAATCATATGCGCGGATTCTGATTTTATTTCATCCTCTATCAAAATTTGTTATTTTTACAATGCCTCATGTATTGTACAGCTGCCATTCTAGTATAAAGATTTGATATCAATGTCACTAACCTTGGTACTTCCATATATCTGTTAAATCCAGTGTATAGGAAAGTTGATCAGTGTGCCTCACTGCCTAACTTCTCTCAAGTACTCAAAGATCAGTGATTGATATTTACCGAGTAACATTATTTTGAATTACTAAAGTCTGCATTCCATGGTTTGTTATCCGTAGCAGCTAATCATGCCATCAATTATTACTTAAGCATTTGAATCATGTTTTCTCTGCCTTTTTATTTAAATTTGTTTTTTGTGACTTGCAACTCATTCATATGCAAGTTCATTCTATTGTACAATAATTATTTAAATTATTTTTAGGAATAAATATCAGCTCTTCTCAGATGAATGAGCAGTCGATGCAGGGTGCTTACAACACATGTGTAAGCAGTAATACACAATATTCATAGAATTGTTTGGCAGCCCAGTGAGCAGCAAAACCAGAAACTTGCATCTTTGATACTTTATCTGTTTTTTGTTTTGTTTTTTATTATTTATTTTTGTATATTTGCTATGATACAGGTTTGCTAGCTCACCAGCTACATTTATGTTAAATGAATGTATCACACTTTCAAATAAAAGTACTGTTAAACTGTTGTCCAATTTTAAATACATGATTGGAAATAAATGATTTATTCAAGGAGACATCTTACAACTTCCAGCATTGGAGGAAACTAATAACATGCAATCACCCATTGTATTTTTTTCCCCCCCAAACATTTTTCAGAAGTACGCTTTAAAATCGACAGTTTGTCTTTTCAGACACTTTTTTTGCTTTAATTTAACTGCAAATGTCATAAACCATTTAACACCCACCCTGACTGCCTACAATCCTGAGCCACCATATTTTTCTATGTTACACATAGGGGGTAGTCTTGTTACACTGTTCAGGAGAACCTCAACAGCTAGCCCAAAGTAAAGTTTTCTGAGAGTTTTTAGCCTTTGTTTTCACCAGTGACTGTTGCCAGGCAGAGAAAAAGCTTGGATGTCCGCCCCAAGAATATGGCTATGTGCAGTTCCAGATACAACGCACATGGACCCACAGCTCATTTGTTAATCTAGGTGTTCTAGCTTGTAATTGGTGAAATTGTTTGTATTTGCAATGTTATTTACACACCAATGTCAATAAAACAACAACAACAACAACCTGTTAGTATTTATATTTATTGTACAATATATTTACTGATAGTGTGATTTTGATTTTTAAGACAAAAAAAGTAGGGCTCTGTCAGGTTTTACAAAAGTGAGCAAGAAAAAAACACAGAAAGAGTCATGCCATACTTGTGGAAGATATAACAATGTAACTAGATTATGGAGTAATTCCTGGGACGATTGGAGTGCATTGAATGACTTAGAAAAGTCTTAGTATTTGTGAGATAAATGACTTGATGACAAAACTTTCAACCCACAATATGGTAGACGGTAAAGTATTGCCACAAGAAGTGTTTGCAAGATCAAATTTTCATAAAAGTCAAAGCGTCCAGGTAGAATGCTACTGAACAAATTACATTTCTTGTTATAGAACGAAATAAAAATATGGGGTAACCAAACAATTGCGGTCTTTGGAAACGAATGCTAAAATGTCGATACGATACGATACTGTTCTCAGAAAAAAGATTGACAATGAACAAAAGATTCAAATACAGTTGACTAATACTAAAATTGTTATATTCATATTTAAACCATTCTACCTTAAAAATCCCAATAAACCACTTTGAATTTGCGAAAGACAAATTTTCACTTCGCAATGAAAATTGCAAAGTTTTGTGGCACTGAGATTCTTGTAGTGACACTGGCAACATTTTTATCTAATCAAGGACATCAAATCTTGAAAATTCCTAGTTTACAATATTCACTGCTACAAGACCTGACTTGTGTCTCGAAAATTTGTGTCTCGCAAAATTCAAGTGGTTTGCAGTGTGATACAGGGTTGAATATTGCATCGTTATTTGCAGAAACTATTAAAGAAATATTAGTCAATTAAAACGCTCTGAGACGATGGTATAAATGTGTGCAATTGTTCTTGATTAATGCAGACAACCGTGAACCATGAATAATGATCCAAAAGCATTTGCAAATTAAACTTTAATAATTGAAAATGAATGAAATAATTTTTATACAAACGTATGGTACAATTAACAATCTGCGTAGAAAAATATTGTAATAATTCACAACCAAAATTCCATTAGTCACATGACCAAAGAATGGCAAAATTATATAATAAAACAAAAATTAGCACAAGACATTTCAGATTTAATAATTTGATAGAAATTTACAAAAAACAGACAGGAACAAGACATTTTGTATAAAGTAATGGAAGCAAATGCCATTTTTTGTTCAAATCTGCTTCATTTAGATTCAATTTTAAAGTCCAAACTGTTCCTTCCAATCTACTAACTGTTTTAAAGTGACATTACTTCCACCACAAACAACAATTACAATATTCCGGACATCATTTTTCAATTTACCACCTTTCTGTAAATCTGGGATCACGTTGCTATAGATACCCGCCAATGCTGCACCGCAAGCAGGTTCCACCATCATACGATGATCATCTGTGAAACAGAATATTTTATTTGTTAAATTCACAAAACAAATATTTTGTTTGCATCCATGAAAAGCAGTTCTTTTTAAAAAAAAATATTTATGCACAAATGTGGTGGTATAAAAAAATTTATATAAACCGCTTAATTTTCCTTGTTAGGGATTTTACACGATTTCATGACATTGATGCAGAAAAGATTTTTTAAATATCCCTGGCACTCCATAGTCAGCCAAAATTAATAGGAAAAAACAACATCGGCAGGCAAAGTGTTAAAAAAAAGTATCGTTAGATTCAATAACATTTTCAAACACTTGTTTTTGTAGCATACAATTTTTGTATTTTTCTATAATTTTGGTACTACCCGGTACTGCACATTTCAATTTTGTTTAAAAAATATGAAAACAATTGTGCTGGTTATTTTGTGATTCTAAACATTGATGGAAAACAACATACTGCACTACAACATGAAAATAAATTAGAAATCTGACCAAGCAGTGAAAATAATAACGAACAAATGAGAAGAGGAAACAAGATACAATGTTTCGATTGACAACCCTTTCTAATCGTAAACAAATAAGGCAAAACTATCGTGCATTAATGGAGGGTGTTCACCCGAAACGTCTTATTATGTTTCTTTTTCTCATTTGTGCATTACTGTTTTCTCTGCTTGGTCGGTTTTCTCGGTTTAATTCACATTTTCAGATAATTTGTGTAATCATGCAGTTACCTAGGAAACGAAGACATGCAGATATAGCCTCCTTATCTTCTACTACAACAGAATGTATCTGATGCTTGCGATGATAATCCAGAGATGTCTGGCTCACTGTTAATGCACCCAGACATTTGGCAACACTGAAACAAAAAAATTAACTTTTTTGCTGAAAAATTTGAAAATTTACACTTTCATTGTAAATAATATTTACATTGTCGTATCAACCCATTGAACATTATATTAAATTTTCTTCATATTGTCATTAATGCGAAACAGAAAGAGGAAGGTCAAAGGTCATATTATAAAACAAATTACATTTGGTCAATGAGATTGTCTCCCATAAACATTTGCACATACTGTAGAGCATTTTAATTTCATAAGAGTTCTTTTTTTTTGTGAAATTCCCAAGATTTGGAAAAAAAATGTCAAATTTTAACAATGTTTCAATGGGATCCTCAAATTTGGTACTGTAACCATTTATTTTCACTATTTTGATATCTTGAGCATATCATTGTGTTTTAATTTCACGAATTTGTCACGAAAACAATGAGTTTTATTGTTATTTTACATATTCGTGTACATTTATTTTAGCGGATTTTATTATCAGCAAAAATATTAAAGTCAAACCCCAGTGAATAATTAATGCATTTACAATATTTTGATTATGATCACTAAAAAGATTGAAGCAGTATGCTGGTTTAATATAATCTAGTCATTTTAAAAGGTTGAGGGCGCTATTCACTTGACACCTGCTGATGTGTTTTCTTCGACTCATTTTTGCTGTCTGTAGAGGTTTTCAGACGTGATGTGTTAAAGCAACATGTGTTAATTTTAAATATAGTTATTACCTGGTTATATCTGGAAGGGTCACTAGGTGACCAGATTTCACAGCTTGGTTGAAACAGTCAGCACCAACTGTTTCCATGGCAACCACTGGAACATCATCCCATCCCACTTGTCTTAGTCCCTGTACAACACCATTAAGTAACCCGCCACCACCAACAGACAAAATAATCACATCCGGTTTCTCTTTTAAATCTTGAGCAATTTCTTCAATCACGGTAGCATGACCTGCCCTGTAAAAACAATATTTAGAAATATCCAATATATTCTCCACTACGCATCCAACCCAATCTGATCAAAATAAGATCCTAGTTTTGGCTTTATTTCATTTTATTAGTCCCCGTTCAGACGAAGTCCAAAAACGACTTATAATTTGGTGTCCATCCGTGCCGTGCGTCCATGCGTCCATGCGTCCGAGCATCCGTCCATCCGGAGTCGTATTTCAGAATCCTTTGGACCGATTCTGTTCATTCGTTGCATGTGCCTAGTACTTTATGTGGGACATATGCACATGCAATGGTTTAGCAATATGATTCAAAATGGCCGACTGGAAGCCATCTTGTTTTTTGAAAATGTTGTATTTTGCACATGCTTTGTCAGTTTTTATTCAAACTTGGTACATACTTTATACTTGTTAGGATACATCTGCATGACAATTTGTTTCAAAATCGGATCAAGGATGGCCGATTGACAGCCATCTGACTTTTTGGCCTTACTACTATATTTTTAAGATTTATGTACCATTTTCATTCGTATTTGGCACATACATTATACATGTCACTTTGTTTTATAATCTGATCAAAGATGGCCGATTAACGGCTGTTTTTATTTTTGGCCATATTACTATATCTCTGTCACCCATGAATCATTTTCATTGATATTTAGCATGTCATAAATGGATACATGTACAATTTGATCAAATTTGGCCGAATGGCAGCCATCTTGTTTGTTTAAAATGTGATAACTTGGACATGCTTTCACTTGTGATCTATGTTTTTCTTTGCTATATCTTAAACCGAAGGGGTCATCACGTAACACAGGTTCGAATTTGATGTAAATAAACAATATGTTGTATCTGCCACTTAGGACTCAAGTTTCAAGGACACGCTAGCGACAACCCCTCCACTTTAATATGACAAGCACAAAAAGAACTTTCAAAAATTTAACGGGGACTGTGTCATTTTCAATGACTTGTTTTATTTTATTTGGATCTATTATTTATTTGTTGATAATTTTTTAAAGATTTGATAATTGCAAATGCATGCATGTATGTTGCGATAGTTAAAATATACCGAATCACAAGTATGTAACAAAAACATTAACAAAAATATATATAAAATAAAATACATGTCGTACAATACAATTTTAATCAGATTGCAGTCAACCCTACTCATAATTATATTAATAATAGCAAAAATCTTTATTAAAATCATATCCTCGTCAGGTTTTTGATTGGTGTACAATAAAGAAATGTTACAAGGAACAACAAGAGAAGATAACATTGTAAACCTCACCAAATATCTGGATGTTCAAACGGTGGCACATACGCACACCCTGGTTCTTCTGCCAACTTTAACGCATGTTGTTCTGATAAATTCCACACCTACAGACATAAACAATAAGTTCAGTAGATCTATCAAATTCACCAGATTATTACAAGAGCTCTATTTAGGTTGCATAAAAGATGGTCATGTGGAGCACAAGAAATCACAACGAACTACCCCATATTTTATGCAATTGACAATGCTACAGACGTGCTTTGATATCTGGCCAGGATGAAGCACATTTAAATATTTGGACAAAACACGAACACATCATCAGCAAAATGAATAGGTCTTATTTGCAAATGGCTGCAGAGTTTTTATTGAGAATGAGATCATGGTTCACAGGACATGTTCTTACCATTCTTGTCCTTGCTTTATATGCAAGCCTTAAAACATTTTGTTTACTTTACACAATCAATCCATCCATTTGCCAGTACATTTCTCTGAGTTTGCTAGTACCGTAAAATCTGTATTAGAAGCCGCATTCCTAATAGAAGCTGCATCCATTCTTTTTGAACAATTTAGACTCAAAAATTCATTATTTTTTGTATGTGTGGATGATACATCCTCTGTTACATTTTTTATAGAAGCCACAACTTTCAATACAAATTTTAGAGTACATAAACAAAAACACTTGTTCTTTTCCAGAATTAGAAAAATAACTAATTAGAAAAAAAAACACTAAGAAACAGGCAAATAAAACGGAATATTTTTTTTCTGGAACCATTGCTGTCAAGTGACAGTGACAACATAAAATGAAACCCTCCATATACCTACATATAAACACATATTAGAGTTACTTATTTTTAAAATATTTATTCTGATCCTCAAAAAGTTGATTTTTGATTACATGCTGGATTTTCAGTTTACCTTTCCATGGACTTCAACGGTTGCACCAAGTTCTGTTCTGAGCCTATCCACTGTGAACTGTGGTGTAGACTCTGGCACAATAATACTTGCATTGAGTCCAAGTTTCCTTGCTGCATAGGCTGCAGCAACACCTGCATTACCACCTGTGAACAATGATATTATTCTATTACCTCAGTACCTTAAGGTAGAAGCATACTCATGATTTCAAATACCCAGAATTTATTCATTTTTTAAAATTGTACTATCGAGCAATATAAGAATATTGAATTAAAAAAAGTTGGAGGTCACCAAGTTAATTTTCGAGAAACTCATGGTTGTATTTTAGTGGATAGAGGCAATTTTGACAGTATTATAGGTTCCTATGGCAGAGATATTATGCCACGTCTCAAATTGTAGGCTGGTGACTAAGCTGAAAAAATAATATATTGTTACTGATGGGGTACTTTTGGTTTTCCTGAATACTTTCAAAAATCTGGGTTTTAAAAAGTGCAATTTTTGTTTAAAATTGCGCTCTATGGAATTGTTTCAAAAAATTGCTATTTTTGAAAAATATTAGGACAAGTTTCTCAAAATATGTCACTGTAAAACACAAAAAAATGCTATTTTATGGTGCCATGGGACAATAGCTACACGATTTTACATGATAAACCAATTGACATTGTCATGCGATTTATGACCAACTTTCTCAAAAATGATGAGTAGGCTTCTACCTTAAATATGAACATGTGTGACTTCGGAAGCTTTTCAACATTTTGTGCAGTAAATCAAAGGAGAAGTGCATGCAGACATGAAGAACAGCTCAAATTAATTAAGACATAACAGTTGTTAATAAGTTTTTATTTGGAGGCGACGGAAAAACTTGGTATTGGTCGTTATTATCTTCCTGCATTTTCAAAAGCTCATAATATAATACTCAACAAAACAGTTATGGTACATATGATGTTGTGGAACACTAAATGTGTCAATCCGAGAAGTTCAAAGGTCATATGTCATCTAAACATTCCAATTTTTTTTACAACTTAAAGCTAAATCAGGATTATCAGGATCATAGTCTTGTATTTGTCAAGTTCATTAACATCAAGGATGTACATAGGAGAAGACAACAGATATACTTTATTGTTGATTATTAGCATATGGCTCTTATACCGTATATATATATATATATTAGAGTTATTTTCACTGAAAAATTAATTTCAAGTGAAATTAAAGTATTTTACAGCAGTTTTACACAGAAACAAATTAGATAAAATAACATTCTGAATCTGTTCCTAATATATTGACACCCCTGATCACTTTACCAGGTTGCATTGACTGTCGATCCAAAGAAATATAACAATCGTTTTTGAGATGTTCATTGCTTTCCTACACCAATATTTAATACCCACCTGATGAGCATATGACACGTGTACAGCCATTGGATTTAGCCTGCAAAAATGAAATGTACGTAGTAAAAGCATTTTGACTGTATAATTAATATCAACTGCACTTGTTGCACCTGTTTTGTCGAAATGTACCTCCAAAGGCATCAAAAATCATGTTTTTCTAAAATCTGAAAGGAAGTTAGTGTTGCAGGAACAAATGACTTGGATAGATGAAAAACCAACAATATTCTTTTATTTGCATAAAATCCAACAGAAACACTACAGTCATGTGTACCACACATGAATAGGGTAATTTCTACACATGTTCCACCCAAAAGAATCCCTATGTAATAAAACAAATCCTTCGCAATGATTAATGAATCATAAATTGTTGGTGTAAAATAAACAAACTTTGCTCATCTGAATTTAAGAGCATTCCAGGAAAAAATAACAAAAATTGTCAGGATTGCAGGATTATCTGCAGTAATTCAGAACAAAAGCAAATCTCTATTGAGTATAATTCAAAAGTGTTAGCAAACAGAGATATGAACACATAATCAAATTGAAAGACAAAATTGAATATTACCCAAATAAAGCTCTGAAAAAACTTTGAAAGGTGGGTGCAAGTAACACTGCAAAGAATTTTGTCTCCAATGATGGATTTGTCGTGATGGTGTTACAATATAAGTTTGTTTTCACTCTGTTTGTAATATATTTTCTACAGTCTGTATGGTGAAAGATTTTCTTTTCTTTTCAAATCTCCCCCAATGGTCTTGTACTACTATTAAAAAACAAAAAGAATATAACAATTGAATGAGCCCATTCCCTTCACCTACTATGACACCCTACATTTGAAATGGTTGAACCCAGAAACAGTCTTACCTTGCTGCATAAATTGGCAATTCCTCGTATTTTGAAAGTGTCAGTCGGTTGAAGGTTTTCACATTTCAGATATATTTGGAGTCCACTGGCTAAAGACATTGGACGACTGTGAACCAATGGAGTATGTATGTGAAGTGGTAGAGCACCCTCTGTGTTGGTGTCCATTTTATATCTGAAACATAAGGTGCACTTGTTGGCACCCGACAGACTGTCAGTCACCCCGATGACGGCCATTTTAATGATGACAACAAATGGAAGTAAAGCTAACAACAATTAAAGCGGTCGTCATCCGCGTACGCGCGGAAATTGAGTCCCAAGCGACGATAACAACACACACTAAAAATGCAAAGGCTCATGGGTAGACGCTTGTCTGTAAACAATGACACACTATGACCATCAGACGCATGCGCAGGTGACGACTCCCCCGCTTTAAACTGTTGCTAAATAGTAGATAATGATCACGTGCAGTGCTGGAACAACTATAATTTATTCATGGCATTTTTTGTTTTTTATCAATAGATGAACGGATATTTAATAAGTAGATTATTGATTTGTTATGAACTGACTGAATAAATAAATAAAAATGACCATATTTACAGAAATTACTTGTGAACATACATAAAATATTGCTGGACATGGAACTAAACTTTTCTATTACATCTGGTATGTTACATGTCTTAGCACAATGTTTAAGGTTTAGATTGATGTGCACTGTATACCTACCCTTTTACCCTAATGCTAATGCCACAACCTGTTAAATTAAATTTAACCTAAGTAAATTTAAGTAAATGTTGGATTTTATTCAATTAAATTGAGTCAAAATAAATTGCACTTCTATATAGGAGTTTAATTAAATTGTAATGAAATTGCATTTCTATATAGAATTGCAATTTAAGCCACACTGATTTAATTTTATGGATGACATCCTCTGGAGACCCCAAAACTAATGCGAGAGGGCAAAAAAAAAATCCTGCCAAAAAAAAAAAATGCAGCTAAAACCACAGGACTACATAGCTGGTATTACAAATTGAAACACAGAACAGAGTGTATCAAAAAAACAACAAGAAGTCTTTATTTGTAGGAGGCAAATATTGATGTACACATCTCGTACTGTATTACTGTCACAGGTATAACCATTTCAGACAAGCTCTAGTACATGTAGTCATGGAATGTACATATCACTACTTTTAATTGTGTCAATTGCGTACCAGTCTACAACAATTTCTCCTTTTTTCCTCTGAACTTTTATGCTAATGTATTTTGGTGGTGTGGTCGCCATTATGAAATTCCCGGCAACGCAATACGCATGTGCAGAACATCATTTATGAAAAAATTGGCACGTTTTGAGGTACAAAACAAGTTTCATGATAAGCCGGCGCTTTGCGACAATATGAGTCGGCAAGTTCCGGACAGAAAACCGATCTGTGGAGACTCATCATCATCAGGCGAAAACTAATGCGCGTCGGATGTCATCCATAAAATTAGTCGGTGTGGCCTTAACTGAGTTTAATTAAATTTTAATAAAATTGCATTTCTACATAGGATTGCAATTTAATTGAGTCAAAATAAATTGCATTTCTACATAAGACTGCAATTATATCAAATTCAATTAAATTGCATTCCTGTATAGGAGTTTAATTAAATGGTAATGAAATTGCATTTCTATATAATTTCAATTTAATTTAATTAATTTAATTGCAATCCTATTTAATTTAAAATTAACCGCAAAACTGCGGTTTTGAGGTGTCCGTTGTAATAATATGGAATATGTGCTTGACGAGCATTAACCCTGCGTGCAGTTCTGTGTGTAAGGGGACGCATTCAGTCGTTTTTTTTTTAAGACAATTCAGTTGCAGATAATTTTGTAATGGTTGTTGCGGATAACTATATCGTCATTTCAACCGATTTCGGCTGGGAAACTACTTATTTTTAACTTGCGCACGAACTACGGTGCGCGACCGGACTTTGTCCATTCTATGGAGGTACGCAGGGGATTCACAGTCAATTCGTCCCAATTCACTTTCGTCCCAACACATTCGTCCCACAAGTCGATTTGTCACAATTCACATTCGTCCCACGAGTCGATTCGTCCCAATTCAAATTCGTCCCATTTCACATTCGTCCCAATTCACATTCGTCCGTTTTTTAAATTTTTGGTCAGCATTACGATCTTGAACAGGGTCAATTTCTATGCCAACTGTTACTGACACGCTAACTAATAACTCCACGTTGCGTGAACGGTGTATTTGTATTTATTAACTAAAACTCTACGTTGCATGTACGGTGTATTTGTATTTATTAACTAATAACTTGTACGTTGAATGTCCGGTGTATTTGTATTTATTAACTAATAACTCTATGTTGCACATAAGGTGTATTTGTATTTATTAACTAATAACTTGTACGGTGTATTTGTATTTATTAACTAATAACTTGTACGGTGTATTTGTATTTATTAACTAATAACTTGTACGGTGTATTTGTATTTATTAACTAATAACTTGTACGGTGTATTTGTATTTATTAACTAATAACTCTACGTTGCACGTACGGTGTATTTGTATTTATTAACTAATAACTTGTACGGTGTATTTGTATTTATTAACTAATAACTTGTACGGTGTATTTGTATTTATTAACTAATAACTCTACGTTGCACGTACGGTGTATTTGTATTTATTAACTAATAACTCAGCGTTGTACATAAGGTGTATTTGTATATAACGTTGTCAAAAACAAAATGGCGTAACGAACAATTACGCATGCCAATGCATGACGTGTATGTGAACAGTTTGTTGTTTGGATTTTTTGTGTTTATTTGGCGAGTTAGTAGTGAGCTAACCTTAAATCTGACGAATCGATCGACTTGTGGAACGAATGGACTTTGGGACGAATCAACTTGTGGGACGAATCGACTTTGGGACGAATTAACTTGTGGGATGAACCGACTTGGGACGAATCAACTTGTGGGACGAATCGACTTGGGACGAATCGACCGTCCCCCACGCAGGGCTGTGATGGGGGACATCTATCAACCGAACGCGTACACGGCACTGTACGCAGTGCTAGACGAGCATGTGGTTGGTCGAAGTACAGCGAGAGGAAAAACAAAAAACGACAAAAAAAGGGCAAAATTGTCGCTAGGATTTAAGCAAGGATTTTGTACAGTATACATATGACTATTTACCGGTATACTGTACACGGAGCGAGACACGAACCATACAATCGTAGCGGCAGTTTTTTTTGTAACTTGCAAGCAATATTTCCTGCTCGACTTCGGCAACCAACCGCATGCTTACATCGTCGAGCACCCCAGGGCCGACCCAAACTTGTGTGACCCCTTGACATGTTGCAGCAGCTTCTATCTTTACCCGATCTATGCGTAAAAATACAAAACTTCTCCGTGTAAACTGACCATATACAGCAACAAACCTGTTCCGCTGCTCAGCTGATTGAGAAAGGGATTCCCCTGCGCAAAAGTCATGCGCAGTTGTTGATCACGTGTTCAGCTGACTACCTCATCACATGACAATGATAGGGCTTTCCCATTCGCGTGATTTCTCATCGAAGAAAGCTTGCATATCGATGCAAAGGAAAAAATCTTTTCCCGACTTTATCAAACACAAACTGTGAAAATGGAAGATTCTGAAACCGACGCATTGTTGGGGAGCCCTTCGATCAACGTTATATCGACATCAGACATATGGCCTCATAAAGGCAAGTATTGGAAAAACCTCTTAGCCCTGAGCGTGGCGTTCACGTTCAATTTCACTGCATTCTCGTCACTTCAGAATTTAGAAAGTAGTCTAAATCGAGATGAAGGTCTTGGACTCGCATCGCTGAGCGTTATCTACGGCTCACTCATCGTATCATGCCTTATAGCACCCGCTATTATACGTACTCTGGGTTTAAAATGGACCATGTTTATTGCCATATTAAGCTACGTAATTTTCACTGCTGCCAACTACCACGCCACATTTTACACTCTCATCCCAGCCTCTGTACTGCTAGGATTCGGCGCCGGTCCACTGTGGGCGTCACAGGGTGCGTATTTAACAACAGCGGCCATTAATTATGCCGAGATTACAATAGAACTGCAAGAAACCATCATAAACCGCTTCAATGGTGTTTTTCTCATGTTCTTTCAGTCTAGCCAAGTTTGGGGAAATTTAATGTCTTCGCTTATTTTCCACAAAGATGCTGCAAATCATGTGCACCCGATAGGAAACACGTGCGGGGCTCACGATTGCCCGTCGCAAAATAACACCGGTAATTCATTCGCACCAACAGAAAAAAATGTTAAGGATCTTTTGTTAAGTGTGTACCTTGCATCTGGTGTCGTCAGTGCTCTTATAATACTTCTTCTTTTGGATAACTTGCTACCACGTGCCAGAGAGAGTATAGAATCTGATGGTCTATCCAAGAGATTGTTGTCAACAGTACATTTACTTAAAGAGTATCGCATGTTCTTAATGGTGCCATTAATGATATACAGTGGCGTAGAGCAAGCTTATATTGCTGGAGATTTCACAAAGGTAAGCACAGCTATCATGTTTGATGGAAGAACGCAGACCAGTATTCTGCTTGGAAACCATGATAAAGTGAATTCGCAGTGCTGCATGACAATTCGATTGACCCCTGGCTTCCTGCTTGTGACATTCCCATTGTTAATTGGTGGATGGTTAATTCGTCCTAAATCATATTTGTCTCAAGTCAATGCATCTCACAGGTTGATTCCACAAATAAAGTTATTCATATTTCAAGATTATAGTGTAATTACGGGTACCCGATTCTACCGTAAATTCGCCCATCCGAAAAATCACCATTCAGGCTAGTCACAATAATCATACTCTTGAAATAAAAAATTGAAATTAAAATGTTCAAAAGATTGAAATGTCGGAAAACAACGCCAAAATATTTAAAAACAACTGCAGAAAAATTGCACTGGGTGATTTCTTGGTTCCATTTTATTTATTTTTAAATCCAAACTGCTGTTTAAATGTCCATGGAAATTTACGGCAGAATCCGGTATATAGCAGCCATGTGAGTAGCTAAAAAACACATAGAAATCGACGAGACCTAGCACACATATGTACTTGCACAAATACGATAACTTTATTGACTAATTTATTAATTAACTAATGTTCTTATAAGTTGAACTTCATTGGATTGTATTGCCTGTAAAGAGCACAACATATACATATCCTGTTTGTGATTCTATTGTCAGTTTGATGATTCGATCAGATTCATAGACATGTACATGGGATGGGATCTTCATTGCACTTGTTGTTAAAGCCTGTGCTATAGAACCACCAAATGTTACTAAAACAATTGCAACAATTTGCTCTATATGCACCCTATGTTGTCTCCCACTGAAACGCAAAAATTCTTGTTTTTTCTTTCAAGTCCATTTTTGCTGATTCCCGAACATCAATGTACCTTACTGTTATAAATCATTGTTGGTTGTGTTTAATTTGAGTGAAATGATCAACATTTCTGTATGCAAATAACACCGAATAAAC